TGTTTCTACAGAACTCTTTGTATTGGTCTGCATTTATTAGAAGGTTTTCTTTTAAGTTCTTATAAACAAAAACAAACATGGCAGCTGGTGAGATAGATGCTCATCACCACTGAGACTAAATTAGGTGTGTCTAAATGATCCTGCATGTGTTTATTTTGTATGTACGCTCTTCTAGAATGTTACCCTTGTGAAAGGAAAAAAAGAAATGGATGTTTATTTCAACATAAATATTGAGATAAAATGTAATGACTAGCAATCTGGACATTTGAACTCCATGTAATGAATTATGCTTTGATTGGTGTAATTATTAGTGTTATTGTTAAAAACTTTTGTAAGAAGTAGAATCTTATGTTTATTTAGGAGGAACAGTAGGGGGGCAGATGATGTTCTAGAAACTGGGTATAAAATTGCTCTTTTCTCAGTAATTTCAACAGATTTCAAATCCCAGTATATCAGACTTTTGTAATTAAGCCTGTGAAATCTGCAATATTTTGAAAAATGAATGTATTGATTATTATCAGTGTAACATACCTAAATAAAGCAGTGGTTTGTCTGTGAAAAGCCCCTTTAACACTAAATTGGAAACTTATGGACATGTGATGTTTCCAGCTCTTTAGCTGGGACCCTAGCAACTCTAATTTAAAGAGAAGGTAACCAACATTTGTGTTGTTATCCATCAAAAAACAGTTTTTTGATTCGGAGAGCAGATCAAACCTGTCTGAACTGAGGGGAGTGCTCAACTCTTTTTGTTCTAGAGGTTCACAAACTTTTTGCATCAATGGCCTCGGCTGTTTGAAACATTTTTTGCTTTTAAATATGGCAATGTAAATGCTTTAGTTAGTCAGTTAGTTAATTACTTATGTAGTTACACTGTTAGAAATAAAGGTTCTGTGCAGGTACATTTTTCGATCATCAAGGTTCAAACAATGTAAATGTTCCCTCAAAGGTACAACAGTGGTTTTAAGGTCTAATTGTGTATCTTAAATAAGTTTTTTCCAGATAAAAAGTACATATTTGTACCTTTTCATAACCGGATGTTTTAAAACAGAACAATAAAATAAAAGCCTGGAGACGAGACGGGGTGTGTGGAGTCAATACAACTTAGAAAATATAATATCAATGGATTATGGTTCAGTTATGTTCCCTGACTAAAGGTACTGAGATGTTCCCTGAAGGTACCACCCCAGAGACAAGAGGAGTACTGCCCCAGTGACAGTTTACTAGCTTTATTTCTGAGAGTGTAGTTAGTTAGGTAGGTAGGTAGGTAGCACTGAATTGATCGCAGAGGGAAACTGTTTTGTTGCAGCAGCACACACAACACAAAATAAAAGGACTCGAACACAGACAGTTCTAAAATACACCCAGTATAAAAAGTAAAGCACACTGAGTGAAAGGGTCCCAAGGTATAAGTAAGGGGGAGCAGGGCACAACCTAACACGCTTTGGTTTTTGCTAAATAATTTTTAAAAAATTTAAGTTGGAATAATCATGTTTTTTATACAAGTAACATAAACATCTCTGCTAAAAATGAACACCTGAACTTTGTTTCTAGCTCCTACTGTTCATGTACAATTCCACCCAAAATGAGGGGAAGTGCAGTGTTACAGTTTAGCTCATGGGTGAGTTCTCTGCAACAGACAGAGGGTCAGTTTAACCCCTGCTAGAAAAGTCTGATGAATCAGTTCAAACAAAGTTAATTCAATATAATTCTATGTTGTAAGACATAAATATGTTTTCCAACCAAACTAAATTACATATCATCATCTATACGACAGACAGACAGATCAATTGACAGACAGACACACACATCAAATTATACATGAACACTGACATGAAAATCTGTGTAAACATCTGGAACAAAAAGACCAAATTGACATCATTTGTCTTTGTTCTACTAAAGATGTTTTAGCTGTAATGCTGTGTAAGAACTAACCCTGCAGTACAGAGGCTGTACTTAAGCCCAGCTCCACTTGCTGTGAGCTTATCAGCTGCTTCAAAGCAGTGCTGTAGGAAACAAGATGGTGATTAATGTAATATAAGGTTGGATTTTGTGATTCACACAAACAGCTCAGTAACTGACAAAATCTGTGTTGAAAAAAATGACTGACGAATCGCTCCGAATTTTGGTGGGAGACCGTGGCTAGGAAATGTGGTAATGTGGCCAGAAGCTCATGCTGCTTGACCTTCTGTGACAACGTAAAAGTTTGTGTTAAATTGTGCCCCACGTTAGGTTGTTCGCTGTGCTTCCCTAATAAATGTAATACAGTAATATAATTGTGTGGTTTGTGTTAAGAAGCTCTTATGAATGAAGATTATTTAATAACTCAGGATCTGTTCATGCAGAAGTCCAGCTGCTTGTAAGTGTTCAGAAACTTTTGTCCAGCTGTGCATCCAGCAAACACAGAAACGGTTCAGTGCTTGCTTTGTGTCTTGTTATACTGGCGATAATAGACGTGCTCATTATTCAAAAACGCTCACGTTTCATGGGCCTACGTCCGAATGTCCACTCTGCTGATTATTATGTGCTTTCCACTAAGTAAAAAAATAAAAAAGTATTGTGTATTTAGTATGCAGCAGTGAACATGTTTCATTAAAAACATGGTTTTAAAGTGTCCAGTGTTGGGACTGAGGAGGCTTCAGATGGCCCTACGTGCTGAGGCCTCGTCCCGATTCGGCTCCCTCGCTCCACGGTGAGGAAGACAGAGACACAAACGAGGGCACAAAGCGGCTCAGATCAGATCAGCTTTCGCGCCGCAGAACCTGAGACAAAGCACTAAAACAAAACAAAACAAGCAAGCCGACTCAGTCGACTTGAGCACAGTTCAACTGTTTCAGCAACAGAAATCAAGGTGAACCACCGTGAGCAGAGCTGGCATTACGGCATTAATATGAAACAGCCCCAATTTTCCCATGGCTGCTCTCAAAATCAGAGCATTTTACATTCAAAAAACAGCCTGAATAAACATCACGGTCTCCAGCGTCACGAGAGAAGCGCACCTATCTCGTAAACGGGTTACATCAGCAGTTCCTTGCTACCAATCTGTGTAAAAAAAAGCTTATCCAACAGTTCTCAGTGGGTAAAAAAAACTAATTAAAGAGGCTTCCAAGAACAAAGACGAAGAGCTACGGAGCTTTCAGGAAAAAAACGCAATTAGAGCGCACGCGAGCCGTTATCAGAGCGGTTGAAAAGGTCAGAACATGTCACGGATTTAATGCTGAGACGACAGACACAGAAGATTCGCCCTCGGGGGGCTTTGGGGACATGGTTTCTTTATGTTTGTTCCTCAAAGTCAGTTTTTTTTCAGGTTTTTGTTCTTAAAATCCTCAAGGTCCAAAGCTATATACTTGTCAAGCAGGCTCGCTCTCTCAACATCATTCTCTCACCTGGAACAATACAGATCTGTACAACATTCATGTTTAAATAATAAAGTTATGTCATATTGCATTCAAGCACACGTTTGTAAATGCACAGTGTTGTTCAAGTCTCTGTAAAAGAGCTCCAAAACAGGTACTCTACACAACATGATAATGCAGGGTAATAGAACAAGATTTCAGACAATTTCATACTATTTGTCCATTTATCATGAAATGTTTACAGTGGAGCTGCTGTTTCAAACAGAGTCAAACGGAGAGATTCAGAGTGGTTTGGTGTGAAATGGTTCAGATTTCTTTACAGTGGTGCTGATAGGAACCAGGGGTCGCCATGACTACAACACAAATATAGACATTTTATTTACTATCCAGAACCACCAGTGAACCTACACGTCTTCTGAGTTTTAAATGGAATGTTGATGATGGGAAAATAGAGCATTTCCTCTCTGACTCTGAATGCATTCTGACTTTGTTTACATATTAACCACTTACTTATGCTGAAATTAATTACAGACGCTGGGTATTAAGTATTTTTAACATTTTAGTGAGCAATTATTTATTGTAATTATTATGTTATTTTGCACTGTTTAGTCTTTTATGTGGCATCATTGTATGAAAGGAGCTATACAGAGCATTAGTTCTAACCGCAGTCCCACAGTGAAAAATACAAACAAAAAAAGAGAAGTGAGAATTTTGACCATAGATATTTATAAGGGTTATGTTCTGATCTATTTACACCCAAGACATTAATAGAGATAGTAATAGGCTAAATATATACACAATCATCATTAGTAGGGCACTTCCTATTGGGATGTGTCTAATACTTGATGCAATACTTACATTTTTTCCATGTTGTTTTTTAAAAGATCCTTTTAATGTATTTTAAAGTTAAAAGAGTAGATTAAAAGATTAGATTAGATTAATCATGAGTGATCAAGAGCTTTGTCTGTAGGTGGAGCCTTATTATAGCCACGCCCCTGCATTTTAGAGCAGGAAGTGAGGCTGCATCCTTGTCCATCATGGCCACATGGTGAGCAGTTAGAACCCATTGATTTGACATAAATGTGTCCCAAAGTCAGAAAATCAGTGTGGAACATTAGGAATTGTCATATATTCTGCAGCTAAGAACTTTTTTATAATTTTTTTTTTAATAAAAAATATGATGATGTTATGTGTGTATAACTGTTCAAAGCTGCATTTGCTGGTCATGCACTGATGAGCTAAAATTGTCACTACAACAACAGTCACTACTGAAACATCTGGTAAAGTTTGAATAGTGTTCTGATTGTTTTGGTACTGACAAAATACAATGTTCAATCATTTGTTTTAATAAAATATAGCGTAGAGTCATTTAGAGCCAAAGGATTTTAGTCTAAAGTCCAAAATCTGTTAAAAGTCCCAAATGTGTTTCAGCTCTGACTTTGGCTGTATTAATATTCTAAGCAGATAACTAAAATTAGCATAGAAACATCGTAGTTAGATGTATCCTCTCATGTGTTAACTTATTTTTACTTAGAAAATTAACAAAGTATATAATTTGACCAGGGCTGTTTAAACTTTTGCATATGACTGTATGCAGTTCCCTTCTGGATTAGTAAAGCTTGTATCTCTCTCTCTTTCTCTCTGTAGCAATGGACTCTGCCTTGTCGAAGGGGAACCTGTGCTCTGACACAGGAAAGCCCTGTAACCCCTGCCTGGATGCGGCCAAGGCCTGCAACCTAAATGACACATGCAAGAGGCAGCGGTCAGCGTACATCGCCACCTGCAACCGCGCAACGCCCATCACACACAACCAGGAGCCGTGCAACCGCAAGCGATGCCACAAGGCCCTGCGGCAGTTCTTTGAGCGCGTGCAGACGGAGTTCAGCTACCCGCTGCTCTTCTGCTCGTGCCGGGACAAGGCCTGCGCCGAGCGCCGCCGCCAGACCATCGTCCCGGCTTGCTCTTTTGAGGAGAAGATGAAGCCCAACTGTCTGGAGCTCAGAAGGACCTGCCGCTCCGACCCTCTCTGCAGGTATGACTGAGAGACAGAGTCACAATACAGAAAGTACAGGGAGGAAACAATGAGAGCAAAGATCGCGGCACCAGAGATAGATGCTGTAGGCGGACTTTGAGGAAAGGAGTGTATGTTGGCATCAAATCACATATACAATATAACCAAAACATTGTAAACTCCTGCTTCTCCAGCGTCTGCTCTGAAATCAAGAGTATTAATTAGGGCTGCACAGAAATTTTGGCCACTGATTTTCAGATAAAAATAGTTTAAAGTGGCACTTTCGGGCCAAACCTTGTGGCCAAATAGGTCTAAAATGAAGTGCCTACATCTAACAGATCCTTTGAATGAATCTGAATGATTTGTTTTCTTTGCTGTTCTCAAACAGTTCAAACCGTTTACACAGTAGATCAATAGTGAAACATTCAAACACAGTCTAGTGCAGCTGCATTCCATATACTTTTTAACTTACATGCTTTTCTACATGAACTGATTTAAAGATAGAATGGTAATCACATAAATAATACTGAGTAACTCAATATCTTTTGGTAATAATCTTTGTCACCTTGGTTTTGAGGGCTGTTTCTGCAAACATATGCATTGGGTAGATACTGCTGGTGTGGGTTCATGGAAGTAATTAATAACTGGTTACTTTTCTTTTACAGTAACTACCCCAACACTGGTACTGTGTCACAGATGGAAGAAATATAGCTTTGCAATGTATTATTGTCTCCCAGAAGACATATATAAAAACATACACACATATATAAATATGTCTATATACTGAATATACATATATACTGAAACTGTCATATATACGTATAGGTGACTGAAAACATCCCTAATTCAGACACTCAGCTAAACAGGCTAACACAGGGGGGCCCATTCCTGGTCCTGTCGATCTGCCACCCTACAGAGTTTTTCCTCCGATCCTAATCTAACACACCTGAAACAGATAGTGGAGGTCTTGAGGGGTATCTGAACATTAGAGCCAGGTACGCTGGATCTACCACTCTCCATGGTGGTAGATCTCCAGGACCAGGATTAGGCACCCCTGAGCTAACATTAGCATGGTTTAGCAAACGTTAGCAAACTATGCTAATGTTAGCCTGTTTAGGTACTTGACTGCAGTGAAATCTGACACATCTGGACAACAATCGATAACACAGGCAAAACAAGCTAGCTAGTAAAAAGCTATCATTAGCTAACAGAACTGTTTTCCCTCACAAAAGGTAATGAAAACATCTACACTCTTAATTTGTGTTAACAACAGACTTGTTGTATTATAGGCAATGTTGGCAAGCACACCAGTGCCCAATACCTTGAGCTCAGTCTTCACAAATCACTGGACTGGTTTTGAAACTTTAGAAAGTTTGTCTGCACTTTAATAAGTCTACGTTCCTCTCATATTTAATTCAGAATTTCTCATGGTTTTCCCCAGACGGTCTTGTTATAAGGTCACGTCTGGCCATGCAAGACTGGTCTTAGCACTGTTTTGGTGATTGCAAACACTGTGACAGGACATGGTGTGGAATGGCATGAATGCCATTTTAAAAGCCGGTGGGCTTATTTATGGTAAATCATGCTCGATAGAAAGCTTGCTGGCTGTGAGGGAAAAACTTGTATGTCTCAGTGCTGGACCTAAAAAGTGTAATCAGTGGCAGTGCCTGGCACTATCATCTGAAAAATCTGCAGGAACATAGGGTGTGAGAGAGAAAGGCGCAATAATACAGCATCTCAGGAGCTTTCTGACTCACCCCAGCCTGGGGCAGACTTTTGTTGGGCAACTTCTGTCCTCAGAATTTTGATGTGCCTGAGGCTAGAACAGGCAGAACAAATCACGAGCCTTGTGCAAGCAGTCCTTCCCGACACTCTCTTTATGGAAGGACTGCTGTCCTTGTATCTGGTCCTGAGCTCCTATACAATATCATACCATAGCAATGGCCTAGTAATTGCAAAGCAATCACCTGGGATCCCATAGCAACAGCCTAGCAACACCTTGGCAACCACCTGGGATACCATAGCATCTGCCAAGCAACAGTTTAGCAGCTGCCTGGAATGCCATAGCAGCAGCTTAACAATTGCTAAGCAATCACCTGGGATACCATAGCAACAGCCTAGCAACACCATAGTAACCTCCTCGGATATCATAGCAGCAGCTTAGCAACAGCATAGCAGCCACTTGGGATAGTATAACAATGGACAAGCAACGTCTTAGCAACCACCTGAGATACTATAGCAATAGCCCTAGCAACATCTTAGCAACCGCCTGCAGTATCATAGCAACAGCCTGGCAACATCTTAGCAACCACCTGGGATACTATAGCAATGGCCTAGCTACATCTTAGTAACCACCTGCAATACCATAGCAAGACCTTAGCAACACCTTGTTAACCACCTGGGATAACCACCCAGGATACCATAGCAACTGACAAGCAACACCTTAGTGACCACCTGGGATACTATAGTAACTGCCAAGCAATACTTTAGTAGCTGCCTGGGATGCCATAGCAGCAGCCTAGCAATTGCTAAGCAACCACCTGGGATGCCATAGCAACAGCCTAACAACACCATAGTAACCTCCTGGGATATCATAAGAGTAGTCTGGCAACACCATAACAACCTCCTGGGATATCATAGAAGCAGCCTGGCAACACCATAGCAACCACCTGGGATAGCATGGCAATGGACTAGCAACACCTTAGCAACCACCTAGGGATACTAAAGCAATGGCCTTGCCTCATCCTAGCAACGACCCACAATACCATAGCACAGCCTAACAACACGTTAGTAACCACCTGCAATAGCATAGCAACAGCTTTGTCAGGCCAACTTAAAGTTAATTCACAAAAGTTCCTCTTCTGCGTAGGTATGTTGTCGATCCTCCACTTCTCAGCCTCCATCTCTGCATGGTAGCATATTATGTAAGAGATGGAACCCAAACCCATCTCTAAAGCACTTGTCCATAAACTGAATCCTGCACCAACACCAGGTCCAGTGTCAGGGACCATTTTTGGAAGGCTTTCTTGACTGTGGCCCTTCTTGTTTGGGTCAAACTGAAGGAATCTCTGAAGAACATGCTACCAATCCCAAAAGGTTCCAGCTGCTTCCTTTTAACTATACATCGTACTTCTACCTAAAAGACACTCTCTAGCACCTTCCAGAGCCTCACAAAGTCCTCTGTAGCTATCCAAGTATGCAGTACCACATCTGTGATGAGGTCACTTCATACATCATATCACATTCATACATCTGTTCTAAGGCACACTTGGCATTATCCTTTGGTGGCGTTCTTTGTGGAGACAAATTGTAGTTTATCGTTTTGACCTGCTTGACCACTTGGTCTGCAGGGTCAGATGTGTCTCAGGCTTATTACATACTAAGGCTTATTATTCATTAACTACTGGGACTTCAGTGCAAACTGCTGAGCTTTTCTTAGTTCAGATAGAAGTGTGTAATAAACTGTGGGCCTGCCGGTGGGCCCTGACCATTTAAGGGGTTAGGCATGTAGGTGTGGAAAGACAGTTCCATTACCTAGCATTAGCATAGAAGCAATAGAAGTTACTAATTATTTCTCTCAATCTGTAATGAGATTACTTCACTCATTCCTATAAAAAAGTCATCATATTACTTATTGCTTTACTTCTATGTTACTCTCTAAAACCTCTCAAAAACTTGCCTGGGCATTAAGAGACACGGCCTAGAGGAATATGGGGGCGGGTTTTTTGGGGGGGATTTACTCTTCTTAGTGGCAGACAGTTCAGGACCAAAAGTTGAATAAGTTGTCCCCAGACGTGTGTTCTCATTATGAGATAATGCATGGACCCCATGAGACTAGACCACTTCAGCTTCATATCCATGTGCCATTCATCCTGTTTCTGCAATGAAGAGTCACACCTGTTCGCGCTGTAGACTTTAATGAGAAGAAACCATCACATCCCTCTTGAACTTCTAATTATCAAGATGATTCTATTTGTAATTATGATTGCCTGAGAGGAGGTTAATCTGAACTGTCCCAGGATTAATCCCAAGAGGAGGTTAATCCTGACTCTTCTACAGAGAGTGCTTGAGTCTTAGAAAGGTGCAGTGACTGAGCAGGAGGAACTTGTACATTGTAAATACTCTAATACCACCTGAACACAGTAGATCAAGCGGGCATCTGTCCGTCTCAGTGGATATATATGTGGCATGCAGACCCTCAAAGACCCCAAGTACTGTTATCTAGCCAACTCAGATGTGTCCCTTTGAGTACATTTAATAGGAGTAGCCATATATTAAACTGAGTAAAAACCCTTTTACATGCTATCTTATAAAATATGGTTCTTCAAGGGTTCTTTAGTAAAGACAGTGGTTCTATGTAGTCTGTTTGGTATCTACCTAGTGGTGTAATAAGACACCCCCAGGCCTCTGTGCAGAGCTTTTGGCCCAGTCCGTCAAGGCCTGATAGACCTAATAATGTTTATAGGGTTGACTGTTATGATATAAAGAGTAGAGAACATGAAAGACATATAGTCAGACAAATTTGTGTTATATATCAGTGCTAGCGGAGAACTCTCAAACCCAGCACAACCTCGCAGAACTCACTCAACATTTTTCAAACTGACCCACAACTATATATCAGATTAAAAGGGCAGACTGGCACTGGCACAGTGACCCAATGACATTCAAACTACTCACATTTATAAGGGAAAGTTATCCTTTAAATGGCACATTGGCAGGCCTACATTTTTATTACACATTATAAAGAGTAGCTCAGCCAGTTTGCATTGCAGTCCCTGTAGTTACTGAATAATAAGGCTTAGTATGTAATAAACCTGGAATTTTAAGGGGTTAAGTTCAGTTTATCGATGCAGATCAAATGTATAATGCAGTGATGAATTCACAAGTCAAATAATCATCTGATATTCAGTCAAACTGAACTTTAGACAGACTGCCCATTTCATTCCATATTACAACAAAACATGAGATGTACTGCAGACCTACAGTTAGCATTTGTCTGTTTGTCTTAAAGGCTGTAGACT